CTTCATCTCTTCTGCCGCTGCCTGGAGAAAGTCCTCTGCTTCTAAGGGCTCCTGTGATTAGAGGGAGCCCCGTTGGATAGTGAGGTACCTATTGATTCCTCACCATAAGGCAGATAGCCTTGATTACTTCTGCAGAGCCCCTTTTGTTGAGTAATAACATAAAGGTTCCGGGGAGGGAGGTAAGTGGCTTTGGGGACCATTATTCTGCATGACACAATTTTTTTAGCACAATCATTTGGACTGTCTGTTCTAAAGTAGCTGTTCAATATTTGAGCATACTAAATGTTTTTAATGTTATTTCTCATTTTATTTCCTGGTTACACAAATTCCTTAATGTTTACATTTATGCATCGTAGGATGGTTTTTTCCTCTTACTATATCAGGAACATTTCACTAGGTGATTATGAATTCTTTTGAAGCATAATCTTGATTATTGTGTAATACTTAATGGAGTAGCTATGTTAAAATTTATTTATCATTCATCGTATGATTTTCCCATGGTTTCATTATTATATATAATTCTGTAATGAACATCTTTGTGCTAAAAGAGTCTCTGTCTGTTGGATTAATTTCCTAGGATTGATTCCCAAAAAGTATGATAACTGAATAAAAGACCATTACTTTCCTAAGCAATTGCTTTCTAAAACATTGAAGTATATATTCTGAGGAGCAGTCTTACTCAGGAGTGAATATCATCATTAAAAATAAAACAAATACTTTTTGTAAAATTGATAGCTATCTGGGCATGGTGGTGCACAACCATAATCCCAGTACTCGGGCTTCCGCAGGAGTTTGAAGCCAGCCTGGACCACATAGAGAGTTCAAGGATGGCTTCAACCACATAGTGAGACTCTTGTCTTCAAAGAAAAAAACAAAAACAAAACTACATTTTATTCATCTCTAATGTTTTTAATGAGTTATTTTTAATTGTATATTTGGGGCATTATTTTTCACTTTTTAGAACCTCAATATTTGTCTTCAATTGTATGGGAGCTCTTTACATAAACAGTGTTATACCTACTGTCTCACATTTACTGAAAATAAACCCCAATTCACTTGACTGCGTACACATTAATGTTTCAAAATTTCATTGAAAAAAAACAAAAGGGAAACTTGTCAAGTAATCTGAGACCGAAAAGTTTTTGTTAAACTTTCTCATCTCCTTTTATTATTACTCATTTGTACTTTTTTTCTTATTTTATTTTTTGTACCTTTTTTATTTTAAAAATTAAGAAAAACTAACAAAACAACCATCAAGACAAAGTCAAAACAATACAAAAACAACAAAAACAATACATGACCTTAAAACAAAATCATGGGAATTTACAATGGTTGCTACATTACATACTGTTATCCTCAACGAAGTTGCTCAGTCCACTAGACGTAAGGATGTAAAATTGATCAAACAATCAAAGACAGTAACAAGTAATAAAAAAACATTGGAAATGATTCAGAGCTTCACCATACAAGATGGTAAGAGTTCAACAATTGTTCTTATACTGCATGTTGTTGTCTTCAGATCAGTCATTCTGATTACCAGATTCAAGGGTGCAAAATTGGTCAAAAAAAAGAAAATTTTAAGCATTGACGGTTCCTTTCAATAAACCACAGACATCAGCAATACACCTATTCCAGCTATCCTTATATATACATATAAATTTTGTTTTTATGTTAAAAAACCCAAAATAACAAAAACATATATAAACTAAAGAACATAGAGAACAATAAAAATGACACAGAATTTCAAAATATGGTAATAAAATATTGACAATGGTCGTTATATTACATAGTTATCTTCAAAATGGTTACACAGGTAACCAGATATAGCCATGTAAGATTGATCAAACAGTTACACATTAACACTTCCTTTCAGTAAACCAACAGATATTAGTAGTACAATTATCCTAGCTATCCTGTGTATACATATACATATTTTTTTCCTCTTCTTTTTCCTCTCCCGTCCTTCATTCCAGTTGCTCCTTCCTATTTGAGCAGTTTTTTTTCCCTTTCACAATATCTACTGTACTTTCAGATTTTATTTACTCTTTCAGGTTCTTATAGTAGGGAGGAAATATGTTTACACATGTGGATCCAATTTATTTCACATATGAGTATGATCTCTAGTTGCATTCATATACCTATAAAAGCCTCAAGTTTATCTTTCTTTATAACTGAGTAATACGCCATTATATAAAAATACCACATCTTTTTTGTCCATTCCTCAGTTGATGAACATTTGGGTTGTTTCCAAGATTTAGCTACTACAAATTGCGCTGCTGTAAACATAGGTGCCCATATATCGCTGATGTTTTCAGTTCTTCTGGAAAAATAGCCAGGAGGGGAATAGCTGGGTTGAATGGGACTTTGAATCCTAGTTTATTGAGGAATCTTCAGATTGATTTCCACAGTGGTTGCACCAGTCTCCATTCCCACCAGCAGTAGAGAAGGCTTCCTTTTTCCCCACCACCCCTCCAGCATTTGTTATGGGTTGATTTCTTGATGGTACTCATTTGTACTTATAAAGTAAACTTGTTTTCTCATGTTAAAAATACAATCATGTAGGTACCTTGAAAATTGCTGTATTGTTTCCCAGTATTTCTTTTCTTCCGTTATGATAGAATCCCCAGTTTTGAGGTGGTTGCCTGGGGGGAAAATGTATGAATAATGTATTTCCCAGCCTCTTGTGCAGCTAAGGTGGCCATGTGACCAAGCAGATGGGTTATGTGCTACTTCTGGGAAGTTTCCTTAAAGGGAGTGGCCTGTTTCTTCCTTTTTCCTTCCTATCACCTGAAACACAAGACGTGTTTCCTCCTAAGCAATGGGTGGATACCATATATCAAGAATATGTGGTAACCCTGAAAGCGAGGGAAGAAATTAAGAAAGGAGGAAATCATTGTTTCATCTGTTAAAAGGTGAAAGGAATGCGGAATGATAATTGGTGATGAGAGTTAATGCTGTGGACATCACAGCTGGTACCCCGAGAACAGCAGTTTCAATCTAGGTGGGGACGAGACCTCCCTGCAGTGGGGCTCAAGAGAGAAGGAGCACAGACAGCTCTTCCCGGCGGTCCGCATAACACCGAAAGGGAAGTAAACCCTCAGCCAATGCAAACTGAAACGCGTCTGAAAAGGGCGCCATTAATAATCCAACCAAGTTAATTAATTACATATGAACTGGAACGCTCCTGCCAACTGGAATAAATGTCATTTTCCGAAGGAAAGGAGAGAAATAGCGCGGTGAGATAAAAACAGTACTGGTTCGTTAGGGTTTTATTTTTGATACGGGAGAAATAATGGCTGATGGGAATGGTCTGGTAGGGAGGAGTTTTACGGTAGAGGAGAGAAAGGTCATTTTGGAACAATGTCCCTGAGTGGGTGAGGGGACCATGGCAGCGCCCTTGGGAAGGCCTGGTTTTAGCTGGGGGGCCCGTGGTCGGCAGACCATGAGCATAAAGCAGGGAGGTGGGCCCGTGTGGCCTTGCGGACAATTTTTAATTAAGGTTTTTAATTTCAAAAAAGATTTTTAATGGAGATTTTTAATTTTAGTGAAGATTTTAATTTTGCATTGAAATAGGTAGCTAGGAATAACATTTAGGGGAGAGGTACTGGAGGCTTTAGGAGAAAATACGAGGTACGGTAGTTTATGGAAGAAAGGAAGAGGAAATGGAAGAGAAATACGGTATGACTGCAGGCAGCATCAGGGTTGCAATTGCAGTTGATAACCTTGTGTTTGGAGACCAACCGACATGGTTATGTTTTCGTTTTACTATGGAGATGCAGTCAAGGAAGAGGCTGAAAATTGGATTCATAAAGCTTTTATTTTGTTAGTGTAAGTACAGTAAAGAAAGGCAGGAGAATTCAGAATATATGCAGTGATTAAGCTGGGTGTGGTGGTGCCCACCTGTAATCCCAGCACTGAGTCGTCTGAGGCATGAGGACTGCTGTGAGTTCGAGGCCGGCCTGGGCTACAAAGTGAGTTCAAGGCCAGCCTGAACTGCATTGCGAAACCCTGTAACCACCACCCGCCCCCCCAAAAGAAAAAAAGATATATGTATGCCATGATTTTATTTGGTCAGGTAATAATTCTATCATTTTATAATTTAATCTACTATATTAATTTCTTGGGCCAGCTGTGATAACGTACCATAAATTGGATGGCTTAAAACAAGAGAAATTTATTTTCTTACAGTTCTAGAAACTAGAAATTTGAATCAACACTGGCAGGATCAAGCTCTCCTGCAGCTTCTAGGCGAGGTTCCTGCTGGTCTCTGTCAGCTTCTGATAGCCCCGGGCCTTCCTCGGTTCGTGATGGTGTAATACTAATCTCCACCTCTGCCTTCCCGTGGTCACTTAGCCTCTGTGTGAGTTTCCAGATTTTCCCTTATAAGGACTCCAGTTGTATTGAATGAGGACCGAACCTAGTGAGTGCACCTTAACTCGCATCTGCAAAGCCCATAGATTCAAAGAAGGCCGCACTCACCGGGAGTTGTCTTTTGGGGCACCATTCAATGCATAGGCTCTGAGCGGAGCGAGAAGTAAGGACAAAAGGATAACAGACAGCGAATGGTGGTAGGGTCAGCAGATTATCGACCTCAGGTGGTACAGCGGGTGTTGGGGTTGAGATTCCAGAAATGAGGTAGAGATTGGAGGGTGAGATGTGTGAATTTAAGACTCTATACGGGGTCATCAATGGTAAAGGAAGATGTAGAATGACAGTGTTTTTGTTTGGATGTCTCAAGACATGCCACGTTTTTGTTGCTGGACAAGATCTTGTTATGTTGCCCAAGTACCTGGGACTACAGGCTTGTGCCACCATTGCCAGCTTCTCCTTTTTTAAATGTTCAAAATTAAGCTCTTCTGCGGCGTGTCCAGAGATCCCGCTGTTCTGTTTCTTGCTTCAACAGTGTTTGGACGGAGCAGACCCGGGGACTCCCTCTCTTCTCTTTCACCCACCTTCCAGGTACAAATTTCGGGACCATCTTCTCGCCTATCTCCTTCCAGGACCCGACAATACCGTTCTTTTGTGGGTAGCTCCTCACTGCCGACCAGCCATGACCTCCCAGATTCGTCAGAATTATTCCACCAAGGTGGAGGCTGGCGTCAACTGCTTGGTGAACCTGCACGTGCGGGCCTCCTACACCTACCTCTCTCTGGGCTACTACTTCGACCGTGACAATGTGGCTCTGGCGGATGTGGGCCATTTCTTCCGCGAGCTGGCTGAGGAGAAACGTGAGGGCGCCGAGCACCTCCTGAAGATGCAAAACCAGCGCAGCGGCCGCGCTCTCTTCCAGGACATGCAGAAACCTTCTGAAGATGAGTGGGGTAAAACACTGGATGCCATGGAAGCTGCCCTGGCCCAGGAGAAAAACCTGAACCAAACTCTTCCAGATCTTCATGCCTTGGGCTCTGCCAAGACAGACCCCCATATCTGTGGTTTCCTGGAGAGCCACTTCCTAGATGAGGAGGTGAAGCTCCTCAAGCAGATAGGTGACCACTCACCACCCTCCGCAGGCTGGCGGCCCCCGGGCTGGGCGGGGCGAGCACCTCTTTGAAAGGCTCACCCTTAAGCACGACTAGGAGGCTGCGCAGCCTGGCAGTCTTCTGAGGGGCTCCTGCATCACCTGTATCAAGGCTTCAGCCAGGGCTGGTGATATAGCTCAGTGGCACAAGCGCCTGCCCTGCAAGCACAAGGTTCAGGGTTCAGTCCCTAGTACCACAAAAAAACAAAAACAAAAGCTTCGGCCTAACCCTCTTCCTCCAGCCACTAGGCAGCTTTTTCATCTCTCTGGAGCCCCCTCCCAAATCTTGGACCAAAAGAAAATAAAGCCTTTTGCAGCAAAAAAAATAAAAAAAAGAAAGAAAAAGCTCTTGTTTTCCCTTTTCTGTCTCCCCACTTCACCCACAACCTGTTGGTCTTTTTGTTCTTATGATTTTAGAAAACGGCGCTATCAATACTGCCCAGTCAAAAGTCTGCGTCCCTGAAGCTGTGCATGGTGGTGCTCGCCTATAATCCCAGCACTCTGGGAGGCTGAGGCAGGAGGAGCACAAGTTCAACCCTGGCTGGTGCAATTTAGTGAGACCCTATCTTAAATTTTAAAAAGGGTCCTGGGAGACCTGCTTGATGCAAAAGCCGTAGGCTCAACACCCAGTACCTAAATGAATGAATAAATGACGTCAGTCCTTGATTCTGCACTTTACCTCAATGCTTCCTCATAGGTGTGCTGTTCTTCCGCTTGTCCTACTCAGTGTCTATGTATTTCCTACCAGCTTCTCTGCATTTGCATTCTCCTTTCCAGTCCAAATAGCATAATTCCTTAACCTTCAGTGGCCTCCTAACTTCACCTTTCCCTTCTTCCCCTCTGTCTTTTTAAAGAGCAGCCAGTAGGATCTTCTTAAAATACAATGCAGATATGTCACTCCTCTCCTTAAAACACATTAGCGATTTTCAATATACTTAAAATAAAACTCCAGACCCTAACATGGAGCAGGGTTTAGTAAGATCTCAATCCTGCCTGATGTATCTTGTGTTTAACACTCCTAGTCTTAACAAAACATTCACATGTCCTTCTTCCTGTCTGGAATATTCTTTCAATTCTTTACCTATCTGAGCACTACTCAGTTTTCAGATCACAACTTAAATGTCAGTTTTTAAAAGTGACATTTGCCAATGTACTGCAGTTATTAAAAAATCAGATTCAGCTCTTTTATTGGATTCATTGGTCACTACTACTTCTTTCATGAGTTCTTCATTTTCAGTTCTGTTTCTCAGTTGCCTATAACGTTTTCAAGAAAAAAATTTCAGGAAGCATATATGGGAGGCATATTTTGGAAATATATTTATCTCTAAGAATGTGCTTTACGCTTTCCCCAACTGATAGGATAGCTGGATATTTTTATTTTCAGGTCACGGTATTCCCGGCCCCACAACACACAAGGTGCAACAGGTTGCCTGCCTAACAGCTCTTTCCCCTTATTCAGGAAACCCTGGTTTTGTTTGGGTAATCCACTGTTCTCCACCCGTCCGTGTACTTTACTAGCCATTGTGTTCTTCTTAAAAATGGTTGACTTAGGAATGGGAATGTGACACAGTCGCAGCCAGCAAGAACTTCTGCGGCTGCTGCTCAATATTGTTATTTCTGCATGTAATGTCTGGACTGTAGGAGCATCTCTAGGACATGAGGAGGCATAACTCCAAACAAGGCCGATCCTCTGAGCCTGGCAAATGTGAAAAATGGAAAGAAGCGAGGTCCTGGAGCCAGTAAATTAGCCAGTCTCAGAGACAAGTCAGCAATTCTAGTGTGAGATAATAAATCTGCCTTATTATTTATACTACTTGTGTTGGGTTTGCTATTCTTGGAATTAAACTTTTAATTTTATGTTATTCCATTGTTCTCTCAGGAAGTGTGAACCCATCATGTTGCCTGTTCCTGTATGTATAATCTATTTGCTTGTGTGATTGCTACCAATATTTTTTAACAGTATTTAGCATTTTAAAAGTCATTACAGCATACCTAGCCATTGATCTATGTGTTTTCTTGGCGTTTTTGCCTTAACTTGGCAGATTCAAATCATTCTAACACTAAAAATTTTCTTCAGTTATTTCAATAATTCTTGCCTCTCCTGATTCTTTTCCTACTGACCTTACTTTAAACTTACAACCACCAAACACTATTGTATTAGTCAGTTTTCTGTTGCTGTGACAAAGTACCTGAGAATAACAATTGAAAGGAGGAAGGTTTATCTTGGTTTGCATTTCAGAGGTTTCAGTCCATGGCCACTTGGCTCCATTGCTTTTATGAAGCCTGTAGTGAGGAAGATGGCTGTTGACCTTATGGTGAGCAGGAAGTGGATAGAGAGAGAGAGAGCCAAAGAAGGACCCAGGGACCAGATGTACTCCCCAAGGTCATGCCTTCATGATCCATTCCCTCAGCTAGGCCCTACCACCTGCTCCCAGCACTCCCAGGAATCCATCAGATTGTAATCTCATTAGTGGATTAAACCTCTGGTGAAGTTAGAGCCCTCAGGACCCAACCACCTTCTAAAAGCCCCACCTCTGAACACATCAGGCTTTTGAGGGGCATTTTTAGATCTAAACCATAACAACTACTAAATAAATCATTGGGGTTGCCTGGATGCTTTTATATTTGCTCTTCTACCACTATTCCTCAAATTATTGTTTCAATGCTTTATGCTTTTGCTACAGACCTCTAACACTTTCTCTCATCCCACTCAAGCCAGTGACTGCTTATTTCACCGTGAAGATGTAAGCAATCAAAAAAATGTTTGTGTCAGAAAATTTTTGTGTGAGGATTTGCCCATGTGCAACTCCAAGCCTTGCTATCCATTTGCAAGAAGCATGCTTGGCTGATCATGTCCAGCTGTCAATGCCTTTAGGGTTCAAGCTAAGGCCATGGACGTCTCCAGTGGACCCCAGTGAAGGCAGCGTGCAAGAACCATCCAAGCTGGGACTCTTTAGAGGGCAGTCGTGGCCCTGGGCCTGGGCTGGCAGAGACTGTTAGGGCATCATCACAGGCACCTACATAGTGGGCTGATAACTCCGCAGACCCTTTTTGCCCCACAGGAGTTGTTTCCCTATTAACATTCCTGAGGTTGCTCATTCTATCTCAATGTCTGCTTCCTGAAAACCTAACATGCATCTAACAGTGGCTGTTCCTCATACACACCGACTTGCCTAGGTGGATCATATAGGCTCCCACAACCTCTTCTTGTGCATACCTTTAAGCCATTCCAGGGATTTTCCCTGGAAATTGTTCCCTCTCCTTCCTACATCAATTACTTTCTATAGGATTATTTTTGCCAGTATACAAACATGTCAAATCTCTCTTTCAAAAAAAATGGGCAACTAAGAGGCCCCATGGGCCATGCCCTGGATGCAAAGGAGACCACTGGAGATCGGTCTGCCCTCTGAGGTGGAGGCCCCAGAGCTCAGACCCACGCTACCAGTTAGTCTAACAGGAATGAGGGGGCCCAGGGCATACTCTGCCTTCTCTCTCTGGCCAGACCGTCACCTCCATAGAGGAG